ATGTTGTAATGTTCTCAAATCACATTTGATTCTGTGATGCCCTTAGTGAAATCATACATGAGTCTGTACTATTGTTTCTATAATATTATGTTACCTGTAATGTGACTTTATGTCATTGTTGCTAAGTGCCATTACACTGCTTCTGACTCATAGTTACCCTGTATAGTTTTTCTAAGAAGTGGCTGGTGGGTTTGAACCACTGCTCTTGATGTTCGTATCCTATAGTACCACACTTGCAGGTATAAAATTTCTGACATAGAAAAATATAAGTATGTGAAGTATATGAAGAATTTGGTAAGCAGTCTTAAAGTAGACTTTAAATGTTTGCAATTAATATATGTAAAGTAGATTTGAGACAAAAGTCTAGTTGACATCCTTAATCTCTGACCTTGAAGTTGATGTGACAGTCCACTAATCTTTGACTCTGGAGAGACAACATAACATTCTAGTCTTAACTTCACATGGGTCCCTACCTAACCTGTGAAGCCAGGGTTAAGAATTCAAATATAAACTCTTAGTTTCTGCACATTCACTGAGGGAAGTTAGAAATGAAAGGGATCTTTGTAGTCTCTTACTTTATTTGAAATCTTAGAGCCTATTAAGACTCTACCTGCCACCACCTCTTCAGACCCTAACCATATGAGACATTCACTGAATTTGGCTGGTGGTCAAGTTTTCCTATTAAGACCACCCAGAAAAGGTAAAGACTTGAAGGGTAAAGATTTGGACTTGAACCATTGAACATTGCAATTGTTAATTGTGATTCTCTGTTTCTAAATTAATATCTTGAGATCTTACTTGTGTGTCTTACCATAATTACCTTGCAATGAAACAAAATGAGTTTATGCGTGTTTAACCTGAGCATTTCTTTATTTATGTTTAAGGTAAAACCCCACAGGACACTTACCATAAATCTTACTGTGTATACTATATTTTTCCACTTTTTTAGTGATTCTTTCAATGGGCAGAGGTTCTTAATTTCTATCTTAATTATAATTAAGCCAAACGTATTAATCATTTGTTTTATGAGATATATGCATTCATATAGATCCTTTTAGGCACCATCAGGTGGACTGTGACTCATAGCGATCCTAGGCACAACAAAAGAAAACAGCACTCACGACCTACCATCATCACATTGTTATGTTTGAGCCCATTGTTGTAGCCTATATCTATTTACACACAGATACGTGCACGCGCATAGATTTTTCAAAGTTAGTCACATGTATTTTTCAATATGGTGACAATAGTCATAACAAACACAGCTGGTGCCATTAAATACAAACATAAATAGATGTATGAAATCTCAAGACGTATACAAATAAATTTTATAATCAGATAAATAATAAAATACTTATAAATTTCATATTAATTTACAAAGAAGACAGATGTTCTAGCAAAATGGAGTTGAGTGTTCTAAACAAGCAGTGATTGTATTTCATTTGCTTACTCCATATATTTTCAAAGGATTGTAGAGTTTATGCCAGAACATTTGGGTGTGATTGAAAATCATAGAGCTAATTATAAATAAATAAAAGAAAATTTTGTTACTGTAAGTCCTTTCTTACTTAAGGCTATGATATACTTATTAAACAAATACGTTCTTAAATACTCCCAGGTCTAGAACCACTCAAACTAAAACAGAAATGTGTTTCACTTTGTGAAGGAATCTAAACAAACTCACCAAAGCAAATAGATTCAAATAAGAAATTTAAGTCAGTAAATGTGCTTGTTGGTTTTGTTTTATTTAATATCATTTTTAGTTTTTGTTTTTATCAACAATCACTTTTATACAGCAAACGTTCCTGTGAGAAGTTGGAAAGAAAAGAAATACTTTTTAGACTGTCCATTGAATAATATTCCTTTGCGGCTTAGGGACCAAATACCCCATTAGTATCTGTAACTTCTGTTGTCTCCTCTCAACTCCCACTAGGTTCATAAATTTACATTTAATAATTACAGGTCATTGCATCAACCCAGATGTTTCAAATGCTATCCTAATAGATTCCCTTTGGTCTTTTCCCCCTCCTTTGGTCTTATAGCACTAATGTTGCTAAAGTACTTGGCAACTAAGTCTCCTTTCAAGCCATAATTACTGACTATAAAAACCCATAAATCCTTTGGACTACCAAGGGCATAGAATCAACCATACCAGCTGCCTAAATATACTTGCTCTGCAGATTCATTAAACCAGACAACATTATCTGCAAGTGAGACATGGTATTAGAAATAGAAAAAAATCAAAGGTTATTGGAGACCCTTTGATAGAAGGAGCTATCCTATGGCAATTTCATTTTCTTAGTTCAGAATCCTGTAGCTTTATTCATGATTATAAGATTTTATAAACTCAGACGTGATGTAAAATACATAAAGCCACCTTCAGAATACAGAAAGTTCATCTCCCATCTTAGTTGCTATGCCAACTCATAGAGACCCTGTATAGGGTTTCCAAGATGTAAATGTTTGAGCGAGCACAAATCTTCATCTTACTCTCATGGAGCAACTAGTGGATTTGAACCACTAACTTTATGGTTAGAATAGTATAGAATCACCCCACTCCCTACTTTCTTAGTGGTAGTGTGCCATGGAGTTGGTTCTGACTCATAGCTACCCTACATGGAGTTTCCAAGGCTATAAATCTTTAAAGGAGCTGAAGGCCTCATCTTTCTTCTGTGGAACTGCTGGTAGTTTTGAAGTGCTGACCGTGAGGTTAACAATCAATTTATAACTACTACGCTACTAGAGCTCCTTCCCCTTCTTAGTAGAGGAATTCAACAAAAGTTCCGCACTGAAGTTGAAGACTGCACAAAATATACAGGTAATCTTTATTTGAATTACAAGAAGGATTTTGAGGCTAGATTTCTGGCTGCACAGCTAATAAAAAAGGATTCAGAATTCCACCCTTATCCTTTGGATTCATTTGGACTATTAGGAATGTCCATGACCAGAAATCTGACTGGACCACTACAGTGAACCCTATGGTTGAATCAAAGGTCAGACTTCAGGGTGTATGGCCACAGCTGGAAATGATGGGCAAACATTCAGTATTCAGTTCACCAGAACATTATTGCCATGCATACCTAAAGATTTAGGAAAAACACAGTGGAGGGGCAAGAGTCAAATCTGACCATGAGATAGAAATATGGTATATAGAGCCTGGGGATAGAGTCCCAATATGGAAATTAATCCAAATATCTCTCCAACAAAGGCATATAAAGGATTGAATGTGCAGGTCTAAGTTTAAGCAGGCTGCAGAGTGTGAGTCCAGGAAAGTTAGTAGAACAGAGATTAGCCGTGGGTATTTCTAACAGAAGCCAGTGTTTCCCATAGAAGCCCAAATTGAAATTTTCACAGTCCCTAAGGATGAGTTTCCAAATTCTTTCCTATATTGCCCCGGAGAATGGTGGTGGTGGTTGGTGGTTATGTGCCATAGAGTCGGCTCTGATTCATACTGACCCTGTATAGGCTTTCTGAGGCTGTGAATCTTTAGGGAGCAGAAAGCCTCATCTGTCGCCTGCAGAATGTCTGGTAGTTTGAAACTACTGACATTGAGGTAAGCAGCCCAAATCGTAGCCACTACACTACTAAAGAATGGTGCTGAATAAATAAGACAGGGTGGGGCTCTTTACTTGGCATCTGCTACAGTCAGGATACTACTTCAGTATTCTTATTGTTTGTTTGCTCTAACACTCAGATCTTTCCTTTGACACACATCCCTAGAAAGGATGTGCTCTTGGACCAACACTCAATCCCAACCACTTCCTAACCCTTCTCATCTCTAAAGATAATTCCATGCTTTATTTTTTGATAAAGTTACCTTAGTAACTCAAAGGTATTTACTCTTAAAAAAATAAGATACATGCCAATAACAGTGAAAGCAATAACTTTGATCTTTGATAGTGCTTCACCTTACGTGAGAATTTATCTGAGTTTTGCTTAGGGTTGAAGTCTCAAGGAATAATAGCGATGATGATAATAATAGTAATGACAGACATTTACTGTATAATTAGGACTATGTGCCGTTCAAAGAGCTTTGTATATAATCTCACATTTATTCCTTAAAACCTTTTGTGGTTTTAAGTTAGTACTGCATTTCATACAGAACTAAATGGAAGCACAGGAAGTAGATGTTATGCACAAGGTCATTTAGCTGGTTTGTAGTGGACTTGGGATTTGACTGCAGTCTGATCCAGCAGCCCACATGCTGAACCCTTGTTCTATGATGCTCAGTCATACCTTGCATATCAGCTTTTCTGAGCTACCCATGTTTTAACAAACATGGTTTGCTTCTTTTTAGTTGTGATTCTTGGAATACATTCTTCATGAAAACGAAATGATTGACATTTTTTTAGAACAATTATGTTGCTGTTGATAAATTCTATCAAGCTGTCACCAGACTTGTGGGAATTCCATGAACTATGGAAGGAAATGCTGCCTGATCTTTTCTCATCTCTAGGATAGGTTAGATCTGACCATAGCGATGCATAGGGTTTTCGATGGCTGATTTACAGAAGCACATCTTCAGGACCATCTAATCTGAAAGCTGTTCATATTCATAGCAACATGAAAGCATCCTTTGGCAGACAGGTGCTGACCATGCATGAGGTACATTGGTGAGGAATCAAATCAGTTGCACAAATGGAGGCAAGAAATCAACCTCTTAACACTGTTGCTCAGTTTTCCTCAATATATGTCATTACTGATATCTCCTTAAGTCACAGTTTGGTCTCCCTTCATACCAATTACATGGTTATACTGTTTTGTCTTTATATGTATGTCCTTTAATGAATAGGAATCATTTTAAGACTGGGACCATATGTCATTCATCATTATGTTCCAAGTGACTGGCAGAAAACTTAGCCCATAGTAGAAATTTGAAATGCTTATGGAATAATAATGATAGGAGAAGAAAATAAATGCAATGAGGAAATTGATTGAGGAATGAAAGAAAGTTGAATAACATACTTTCCAATATAATTTCTTGGATACAGCCTTTGTAAATGGTGTTGAGGAACCACAGCACAATCACTGACTTCATTCTGCTTGGACTGTCTGATGACCCTCATGTTCAGCCTCTATTCTTCATGCTATTTCTGGCGATTTATCTCCTGACCATAATGGGGAACCTCATGATGCTACTGGTGATCTGGGCAGACTCCCACCTCCACACCTCTATGTATTTCTTTCTGAGTCACCTCTCTTTTCTGGATCTTTGTGTTTCTTCAGTCACTGTGCCTAAGCTACTGGAGAATCTCCTCTCAAAGACAAAAACCATCTCAGTAAGGAGCTGTGTGGCTCAAAGCTTCTTTGTGTTTCTCACTGGAGGGACTGAGGCCTTTCTGCTTTCAGTGATGGCCTATGACCGCTATGCTGCCATCTGCCACCCTCTGCACTATGGACAGATCATGAGTAAACAGCTGTGTATGCAACTTGTGTGGGGTTCCTGGACCTTGGGTTTTCTGGATGCACTCATCAATAGCCTGCTAACTTTAAACCTGGTGTTCTGTGACAGCCCAATCATCCATCACTTCAGCTGTGAGCTACCCACTATCCTTGCTCTATCCTGCTCTGATATTTCCAGGAACACCATTGTTTTGCTTTGTTCCAGTTTCTTTCATGCACTGTCAACCTTATTAATGATTTTTATTTCATACAGCCTCATTATCTCCACCATTCTGAGCATCAGTTCTACTTCAGGCAGTAGCAAGGTCTTCTCTACCTGCTCCTCCCACCTTACTGCAGTGAGCTTATTCTATGGTTCAGCTTTTCTACGCTACCTCATACCAACCTCAAGCTCATCCCTGCAGCTGATTTTCTCTGTGCAGTACAGTGTGATCACTCCCATGCTGAATCCCCTCATCTATAGCCTGAAAAACAATGATGTAAAGGCAGCTCTGAGAAGAACTTTTGGAAAGCATTTGCAACATATCAGAGGCTGAAACAAAAAGAAGAGGATGGTGGAGAACTGGGAAAAAGCTGCATACACCAAGACATTAGCTGAATTTAGAGTAAGGAGTAAATGGAGTCCTAGTATGGCACTGTGGGTTAATGTGCTGGACCATAGGGTTGGTTTGAACTGCAGGGTCGGTGGTTAAAGCTCATCTGCTGCTTCTTGGAAACCTTATACAGGATCACTATGAGTCAGAAGCAACTCAAAGACATTTAACAACAACCACAAAAGAGTAAGGCGTACTCCCGAATACCTACAATGTCTGATCCTTCAAGCTATATGAGAAGTACATGAGAAAATGTTGTTGTTGTCAGGTGCCACCAATTTGGTACCAACTCACAGTGATCCTATGCACAACAGAATGAAACGCTGCCCAGGTTTGGGCCAAATTCACAATTATTGATTGCCATGCTTGAGCCCATTGATGCTGCCATTTTGCCAATGCATCTCGCTGGAGGGTCTTCCTCTTTTTTTGCTGATCCTCCACCTTACCAAACATAATATCCTTCTCCAGTGAGTGGTCTCTCCTGACAATACATCTGAAGTATGAAAGATGAAGTTTGGTCATCCTGGCCTCCAAGGGAGCACTCTGGTTGCACTTTTTCCAATACAGATCTGTTCTTTGGTAGCCCATGGCACTTTCAATATTTTCCTCACACAATAACTCCAAAGCATCAATTCTTCTATGGTCTTCTTTATTCACCGTACAGTTTTCACATGCATATGAGGTTATTGAAAATACCATGGCTTGGGTCAGGGCACACCTTAGTCATGAAGTGGACACTTTGCTCTTCAACACTTTAAAAAGGTCTTGTGCAGCAGATTTGTCCAATGCAATATGTTGTTTGGTTTCTTGACTGCTGCTTCAATGAGTGTTGATAGTTGATTCAAGAAGAATGAAGTCCTGGACAACTTCAATCTTTTCTCCATTGATAAACATGTTGTTTATTGGTCCAGTGGTGAGGATTTCCTAACCAAGTTATAGCAAGATAAGTCACTTTATTTAAACTATTAAATAATGATATGTATGTACAATATATTGTCCTGAGCATACTGATTCACTTTTCTCTCATTCTAAAACATTTGCCTCAGGTTTTGCATTTATTAAAATCATTACTGTCATGTATACATAATTATTTTTAATTAATTTGGGGGAATACCTTAAAAGTCACAAACTTAATAAGAATATAAAGCACTTATAGGAAGAGATGGAACAACTGCCACTTTGCCATAAGACTAGAAGAACTATGGGATGATACCCATATATCATTAATGAACATGCTAATCAAAGATTTTATAGAAGAATCTTGATCAAAAGAGGGAAAACACATAACAGAGTTTCTAATTCTTATTGAATCCAGACTTTGTAAAGCCACTGAGGATGGATGAACGACTGAAACGGAGACAATCTTTAAAATTTCAACCTAAAATATTCCATGAAGTCTCCTTTAAATGAAAGCAAAGCAACATCAAAGGAAACTTTTAGCCTAATTAGATAAAAATGTCAGCCTTAATCATCTTGCTCTTTTAGAGAACTATTAATATAGGACGAAATTGACAACAGCAAGTAGAAAGATTAGATAGGTAGCTTGGAGGTGAGGAAGTGAGCTTATTAATATGGAAAAAACAGCTCAGAAAAGGAGGGTGGCAAAATGGTCACACAACTTGAAAACTATAATGTGTCACACAACTGTACAGGTAGAAATTGTTGAATTTCTCTATATTCTGTTCTGTGTATTTTCAACAATGACTAAATAAAACTTAAAAAATAAATGGTTTTAAAAAGTACTTTGTTGAAAAAGGAGCCACAACACGAGAAGATATATGCACACCAATGTTCATAGCAGCACTATTTACAATAGCAAAAAGATGGAGACAGCCAAAGTGCCCATCAACTGA